CCTTAACTCTTCATCTGATTACTTGTCATTTTTATACAGAAAGGCTACAGATATGGCTAGATTGATTTTGTTGCCTGTCACTTGGCTGAAAATGCAATCATTTCTAAAAATTTTCTGGTGGGATTTTGGTGTCTCATGTACAATATCATATCATCTGCAAATAAGGGTATTTTGACCTATTCTTTTCTAATTGGTATCCCTTTAATTTCTTTCTCATCTTATTGATCTACCTAGATTTTCAAGCACTATATTAAAAGGGAGTGGGAATAACAGACAGTCTTGTAAATAAGGTTTTAGTGGAAATTCTCCAATTTTTCTCTCTATACAATGATATTAGTCATATTTGGTTAAGATCTGTTTCTTCCAGTCAAACTCAACCCAAGACTCTCTCTCTCTCCCTCTCTCTCTCTCTCTCTCTTATCAATGTTTATGGCTTTAAAAAATATTTCACTTATTATTTTAATTTTATGTGTATGAGAGTATTTGCCTGCATAGAGGTATGTGAACCTGTTTTGGGCAATGCCCATGGGGACCAAAATAGTGTGTCAGATTCCCCTGGAACTGGAATTACGGATGGATGTTAGCCACCATGTGGGTGCTGGGAATCAAAGGCACGTCCTCTGCAAGAACAACCAATGCTCTTAACCACTGAGCAATCTCTCCAAGCCCAACCACCTAATACTTTTAACAAACATGCATGTTGGATTTTGTCAAAGAACTTTCCCATTTCTATTTAGATGATTGTGTGATTTTTATCTTGATGCCCTTTCATAAGACTTATTGTCTTTCTAATTAGATAATCTTAAAAAATCTGGGTCATCTTTGGTTTCTAGATGACAGTCTGGAATATCTTTCTATGAAAACATTTCAAAATAGGCTATTTCAAATTAGCCTACTAAATGCCTCAACGTTCATTGGAGCATAACTCTGCAGAATTTTTGCTTTAAATAAATGGTTTCTGAGTTTCAATCTATAGAAAATTTTCTCAGTCTCCACTTCCAAAAGTGTGTCTCATGAGTCTGTTTACAGTTAGTTTCTCTACATCTTGTGTCCTAACTCACAAAATGATGATATCAAGATGTGACATCCTTGATGGCCTTCAGAGGTGATTATTTCATATGTTCAGAGTCTTCAGAATTTTTTCTTTATAAAACAATCTTGGATCTCTTCAAATCTCTACCACCATGGAAAAAATGGTAATGTTCCAGTCTCTATGAACCAGAAAGCAGGATCACTCTAATCATTAAAACAGATTGTGCCTGGATTTTGACCTTCAACTCTTGAACTCTTTGATTTATTTTATTATATAAGCCTGTTACTGAATACTGTTTTGTACTGAGTTCATACTTAGACATTCAGCAACATAGCAGAAAGACTTATTTGCTGCATAAGGAAACTTCTCTGGTCAGAGTTGAGAGATGATAAGTGTAATTTTAAAAATATTTTTATTTATTATTTTTATATATATGAATGTATCTTTGGATAAATTCCCTATGAGAGATGTAAATAATTTTCAAACTGCTCCCCACTTGGTCCTGACAACAAAAAAAGGTTAAATTTTGTCAGACTGCAATCTGGAAACCAGTGAGTTTATTGGGCTTAATTGCAATGAATGAGGGTTTACTTACAGGTTGTGGGTGATACCCTCTATGGCCACCTTGGAAAGTCTTTATCCCATTCTGAATGGTGACTTCCCCAAAATGGTGAGAAAGCTTGCTCACAGCTTCTTTAATTTATATACCCTTACCCCTCCCCATCATGTAACTAGGTACAAACTTACCAGTGAGAAACGTGGCTGACTATTCTGGCCCCTCCTTTCTTGCAAAGCTTAACAGTCAAAAAGCTTAGCTGTGATTCTAGACAAGCTGGGAATAAAGCATCTCTCCATGGTCTGTCTGTCAGAGAATAGTCCTATGCAACAATTACTTGCATGTAAGTAAGTACACTCATGTCCATGGAGGTCAAATCAGAACAGGGTTTCAGGTTCCCTGGAACTGAAGGTATGGACAGACAATTGTTAACCACCTTGGGAGTCATGGGAATTGAACCCAGGTTCTCTACAAGAGTAGCCATCACTTAACCATTGAGCAATCTCTCCAGAGATGATTTTTATGACAAATGGATGTGAACTAAATATAAGGAAATTGAATATATATAAAAGGAATACCAAAACTATTGTAATCTTATTTAATTAAAAGCATTATCTCTCTGAATCTATGAAATTGAAATTACAGATTTTGAATTATTTTAAGGTAATTCTGACTAAAGTACAAGCTTCTAAAAAGGTTAGATTTGTGACTACAACATTCAATACTAAGTCTACCCAGTATATTCTAATGAAGGTCTCCTCCATTCCCTCTCTTATATTATCTTTAAATTGAATCTTTCTTTAATGTCTATCAATGGCTTGTGGTATTGTACTATAGTACCACTGATGATACTGACAGAGTAAATGATAAACTATCTTCTATAGCTTAACCCCCTTGTTCTTATTACTGGAATACCTAAACATAAGAATAAAAGCAAGAGGGTATATTTGGTCACATATAATATATGGTCTGCTTCAATTTTATTATACTTGAAGAGGGACTTAATGTAGATTATTTATGCATGTATCATTCTCTGTCTACATGGATTATGATTGTGTTCTCCACAAAACTCATTATTGTATTGATCATTTTGAAAAATATAGCATTTTCTGTTTGTACAAAAAAAAAAGTGCTCCCTGTCTAACCTTTTGTTGACCTGAAATTGGAGTAGTATTAAAACTAATTAGGTTGAATCACAAATGTAAATAAGTATAATTTCAATCTTTACCAAAGTTGCTGTAGTATTCTCAGGGGATATTTCTGAGCCAGGAGGCTAATTAATTTTTGATGCATGAAACAGAGAATCAAAGGCAGAGATACACCATATTAAGTCCTAAAAGTCACTAGATTAAAATAAAAATTGACCTATTTATGGTTCAGGTACCACAGATGAGGACAGAAAAACTCAGTTCAGGTAGGTTTCTTAATAATATGTTTAAATAATATGGGGAGAGTACAACTAGTTTGAAGGGAAAATTATAATTCAGGATTGGGTAAGTGTTTGATATCATACAGGCTTACTCATGAAATAATCTGTAATCTAATGAGCCATATTTTCCTATTAGTTCTTTGTTAGACTGAATGACTTCAGTTGCTAATGGTGTAAAATTGTATTTAATTATTCCTAGTTTAACCAGAAATTGTAAGTAAATCACTACTTTTATAAATTATTCTACAAGTCTCGATGCACATAAAGTTTAAATTGCTTGTTTTAGTAAATAATAATGTTTCATACAATACAAATTATACATAAATGTAATGACTCTGGTATACATGGAAAACATACTATATTTTAGTTTAGCGCAAAGTGAAAGATTGCAAAGTACATTCCAATATTCATACAGCAAAAGAAAAGTATACACACAAACTGTCCATGACATATATGCAAGTACAACTATAAACAAAAGAAATAGAAGCTTATGTATCTCAGAAAGTCTTTTTTTCAGTACTTTATTTATTGCTTTTATTTTATGTGTATGAGTATGAATATATTGCCTGCATGCAGTTAGGTACATCTCTGTTGTGCAAAGACTGCAGAGATAAGAAAAGGTTGTACCCTGAAATTGGAATTAGTATGTATTCTACCATGTGGATGCTGGGAACTGAACCCAGCTCATCTATAAGCACAACCAGTGCTCTTAATCAATGAACCATCAGCCGGTCCCTACAACAGAAACTCTTATTGTATCTTTCCGTGTGATTTTAACAGCAATTTAAAAGTAAGAAATATACAAAAGTCACTGTTTTATCATAGTCTTTTGTTGCACTTATTTGAATGATTTATCACTTGGAATCTGTGAAATTTAACAAATGAATTAGGAGATCCTGTCAAAGCAGTGAAGATAACTGATAGAAGGATCTAGTAAAACATTTGATTTTTAAATAATAGTTTCACTCTAAAACATTATCAGAACAATTTTCACTAATGTATATGAAGCACAGTTAATAGTGTTAAAATCAATAATAATTCTTTTTATTTCTAATGAACATTTTTATTGAACATTTTTACTTTTTGTACAATACAGTCTGCCATACATGCCAAGGCCTATTATCAAGTTTGTGTCCCCAGATGCCCTTTTATGTGAGTTCACTCACTGGAATCAAATCAGACTTTCTAAAATTGCTCCATTAAAGAAGAACAATTCAGGGTCTAGAGAGATGGCTCAGTGGTTAAAAACACTGACTGCTCTTTCACAGGACCTGGGTTCAGTTCACCATATCCGCATGGCACCTAACAACCATGCATAAATTCCAGTTTCAGGGGATCTGATGCCCTCTTCTGACCTCGGTAAGCATTGCACAAAATGGGTACACTTATACACATGCAGGGAATATACTCGTATGCATAAACATTTTTTTAAAAAATTAAGAAAGACTAAACTCTTCTTCACAAAGCAATAAACAACGGCCAATAGTTCCTCAGCTAAGATTTGGGGTTTCTGATGCATTTCCAGTTCTATGCTGGGTTTTTGTCTGATTGAGTTTGCATGAGCCTGTTGCATGCTGTCAACTCTGTTGTCTTAAGTTCATATGAGCAAATTTCCAGAGGCCAGAAAGACTCTTATGGCAGTAAATGTGAGTATTTTTAAAGAGAAAATGAGTTGTTTTTCTTCTATCTTCTGTCGCTTTCCTTTAACTTTGGTTTTCATCCATATCCCATTGGATAGGGCCGTGGTGACAGTGGTCAAGATAAAACACTTATATTACAAAATGTGTGAAATTTACAAATTTGAACAACCTACATAAGTTGTTTTATGATAATGATGGTTTAAAAGTAATATGTGCCTGTGCTGTCTTCTCAGATCAAATAAAAGAGTTTAAAGAAACAAATAACATTATGCACCAAAATAATAGTTTGGTATGCAACAAAACAATACCTAATCTATCATTTTCTTGATAATTTTGCTGCAGTTTATAAAACAAAGAATGGACATTAGGAACTGCTCAACAGCCGAGTTCCTTCTCTTGGGAATTACCAGTAATTCTGTGACAAAAGTGATTTTATTTATCACATTTCTAATTGTTTACATCATTATTCTTTCTGCAAATCTGGGAATGATCATTTTGATCCGAACGGAATCCCAGCTCCACACACCCATGTACTTCTTCCTCAGCCACCTCTCCTTCTCCGACCTCTGCTACTCCACTGCAGTTGGACCCAAGATGCTGGAGGGCCTCCTGGACAAGAATAATTCAATTCCCTATGTTGATTGTGCTCTGCAATTCTTCATTTTCTGCATCTTTACAGATACTGAGTGTGTGTTGTTGGCAGTGATGGCCTTTGATCGGTACAAGGCCATCAGCAATCCCTTGACGTATGCAGTGGACATGTCCAGCAGGGTGTGTTATAAGCTTTTGGCTGTGGTTTACCTGATAGGAATGGTAGACGCTTTGACACACACAACATTGACATTCCGCTTATGTTTCTGTGACTCACATGAGATTAACCATTTCTTCTGTGATGTTCCTCCTCTCCTGGTACTTTCCTGCTCAGATACCCAGGTGAATGAACTAGTGATATTCACCCTTTTTGGGTTTATTGAACTGAGCACCATCTCAGGAGTCCTTGTCTCCTATTGTTACATCATCTTATCAGTCTTGAAGATCCGCTCTGCTGAAGGCAGGTTCAAAGCTTTCTCCACTTGTACCTCCCACTTGACTGCAGTTGCCATTTTCCAGGGAACAATGCTCTTCATGTATTTCCGACCAAGTTCATCCTATTCTCTAGATCAAGACAAGATGACCTCACTGTTTTATACTCTCGTCATTCCCATGCTGAACCCTCTAATTTATAGTCTGAGGAATAAGGATGTGAAAGCAAGTATAAAAAGACTGAAAAGTAAAATTTCATTTTAATCGAGTAGATATATACCACAAAGAAATACATATTTAAACATGCACACATAAACACTATTTCTTTTGTTTCTCAAAACATGTAGTATAATGCAAGCTAGTTTCAAGTACCATTATTTATATTAAGCATTTGAGTAACTGCCTCATACTTTAAAATATTCTTAATTTTGTTTGTGTCTTCAGAAAATATAGGTTTTCTTTATTGTTTAATACCATGAATTCAAAATGACAGAATTCTTGAAAGTAAAGGAAATCTGTTTAAATCTTGAATGGAAAAAGAAGATTCTTTGAGTTATGGACTATTACCTTCAGACCTAAACACTGAAAAGAAGAAACAGAGAGACAATAGATAAGATAATGAAATCTAGAAGAAGAATCCAGGAAGTAGATACTGAATTGGGAATAAAGTCAGGTTTTAGAAGAGAGGAGGCAGAAATGTAAAGAACAAACTGCAGAGTGATTGTCATTTCATTCACTAGTGATTACTCATGTTGAACAAAGATCCTGTGCCTTTGACAAATTTATACTGTCTTTGATTAATGGCAGTTTGAGTATTTGGTATAATTTTTACTGATTTTTTGCTTATTTTATTCTAAGTTGTTTGAGAAAGAAAGGATGACTAAGTTCTGGTATGTAATGCAAAGTTGTGCAGTCATGAGCAAGTAGACTATACTATATAATTCAAAATAAGTAGAGATGATTTCTAAAATTACACCATATAAAATCGATAAATAATGTATGTACTAAATGTCCTAAATATGCTGATTTTATCATTAAAAAATATGCACATAACTCTTGACATTGTGTCGTACCCTATAAGTTTGAACAGTATTGGGTAAACTAAAAATTTTACAGAAAAAAAATCATTTTCAGCATGGAAAGGTCCAGTGCTATATAACCTAGATTTCAATAATACTCTTCCGTCTCTCAGCTTTCTATCATTTCTTGCATTGTGCCTCCCATGATACTCTCATAAAATTGCCTTTATGTTACCTAAATGCAGTTCTTTACCTAGAGATCAAAATTCTATCTACTTCTCAGACACAACTATTTTTGTGTTTATGTATGGAGAGACAAGTGAGTCTGGTTTACTTTGGTACCAGTAGCTTACTTGGAACTTAGTTGTCAGTAATCCATGACTTAGGGACAGACAAACATTGTCTGAAGGAAGGATATTATAAGTACATTTGAATAAAATGAATCACAAATAGTCAATAACTATTTTTAAAGTGCTCAAAATCTATAGTCATTAGGGAAACAGAAATTAAAATAATTTTAATACAGCACACCTCCACTCAGAATGGCTATTATCAAGCAATCTGATTACAGATGTTGGAGGGAATGTGGAGACAGAGTAACTTTATTCATTTCTGGTGGGAACGCAAATTAGTGAAGCCTTTATGGAAGTAAGTTTGGAGGTTCTCTAAACAATTAAAAATAGAGAATAATAGAGAATAGCATATAAGTCATCCATCTCCTTCTTGGGCATAGATACAGAGAACTCTATATCTTACTATAGAAACACTTGTGCCCTCACGTTTATTGTTGCTCTATTCACAAGAAAATGAGCCCAATCAAATTTTTCATCAAATGAATGGACAATTAAAATATGGCACATATAAAGAATGGGATATTATTCAAGTCTAAAGAAAATGAAATCACAAAATTCTCATCAAAGCGCAGGGACCCATAATGTATAATATTAAATGAAATCACTTAGAAAGAAAAATAAAAACTGTATGTTTTACCTCATGTGCAGATTTTAGGTGATAATGTGCAAATATACAACTAAAGAAATGCATGTGTGGGTATATTTTACTATTTATAATAGAGAACAAGGAAGGGTTATTTGAAAAAAAAATGAGCATTGTTTTAATCTGTTTTTGCACGGTGGATGTGTGAACTCAAATTTCTCTGCATTGAAGCAGAAGAGACCATTTTTGTTTTCCATGGAGGTCCAATAAATATTCTGCCGTTTGGGTAGTGAGTGTGTGGCTTGGGTTATTGCATTGATCATTATTGTAGTGAGATTTGGAAATCAATGAACACTAAATGCATGTTTCAAACTCAGACACTTGGAAAAAGTGATTTTTAAACAATTTCTAGGTATGTGTTCTGTGCTCATATTCTTTATGTAAAAGTAGGCATTGTTGGGACTTATTCAATAAAACTGATTTAATTTTAAAAGTGGTTGCTATGATTAACCAATTTTCATGCATGCATTTCTTCCCACACTCTGGGCTTAATGAGGAATGGGAGAAGACCACAACAAATGGAGCGAAAGCTGCTTAGGAAGATAAAGTTTGGGGCCCATCAGAGGAGATTGCATCTTGGGAAAGGAGACATCCCTAGAGAAAGGGAAGCCTGGAGGATACAGTGAGGCTGACAGGATCCAAAGTGTCCCTGAATGACTGCACACAACTGATACCTGCATCAAACAATTAATGGAGCTCTTGGGTAGAACACTTATTACTTTCTTAGAAAATATTGGTAGTTACTACAGATTGAGCTTTGTCTCAGCACTTCAAAGAGGAATGTATTTGGTATTTGAGTACTAGAAATATACCAGCATGCAATGCAATATCATAAAGCATTAAAAGTGTCATCGGATTCAGTTGTCAAAACTAGAATACAACATCTTAGAATGTCATGTGACAAGTATATCAGATTTTTTAAGCTAAAATAAAATTTCACAACATCAACAAAGAATAAAAAGGAATAACTACAAATTCTTAAGAAGGTCTCAGGTGAAGCATCACACTGCCTAGTGTATTAGGAGTCATAGGCCTTACATACATATTTGGGGTTTTTATTTGCACATATTTATCCCATACAAGATTTGTGGAAAAGAACCAAATTAGACTATTTTAGACCTAATATTCATGATCACTGCACAAATTTTCAAAGCATAAACCAACATCAGACATTTAAAAATAACTTAAACCTAATTATATTTACAGTGTGATAATTGCTCATTTTTTGCTGTTGAGAAGACTGTTTCCTGAATCCATTTAAATTACGTTATAATTTACAGTTTTAAAATGATATGCCTAGTTTCTAGAGTCTTTTAACTCTTATTACTTAGATATTATTAGAGACATTAAGCTGGAGGTGATAATAGACAAGAACAATAACGCTAAGCTATGTACTTGCCTGTGGTAGAAATTGTCATGGTCCTGTCATTTTATCACAGTAACAGAACAGTAACCAAAACACTGTCCCAAAATATTCTGATTTATTTCTGAATAATTATTATCAGTTTGAAGTGCTAGCTGTTGAGCCATATGATTACAACTATTTGATCCAGAAGGAGCAATTTACAAAACTCTGGAAGCCAGCACAGTTTTGGTGCAAATCATGGTCATTCAGGGAAGAGTGTTAAACCCTTGAGGAACACTTCCAATAAAGAAACCATTATCCGTTACACATTGTCAGGATCCTTTTTTTGTTTGTTTTGTTTTTCTTTGTATTTTAAGGGAATTACAGATAAAGGAGAGTTTAGAAAATGAAACTGGGCTTTGATACAGATATGTAATCAAATCTGTATTTGATTATTTACGTGAATTGTGTGATCATAGTTGTAGCTATCAATCAACTTTTTCAGGAGGAGTTGGGTTATTATAATGTATTTCCACCTAGATGTAATAATGGGTTTGAACTGAATATTTAATGCATTAGTGAATAAAATAATAAAATTTTCATATACAGCACAACTTTATCACTTTCAAATGCAAACTCTTTGTATTTAGTTTGTTATTTTAAAAACTAAGTATAAAAGACCATAAGGAAATGATATAAGATATGTGTACCTGCAGTTCATGAAGGGAAGAAAAGTACACTGATAAATAAAAACAAAATAAAAAATCTGTGTTTACCTTGAAAGGTTGCTAAAAATTAGGAATATTTATGAATCAAGCAACATGCTCTTAATTTTTCCTTCAGTATGAACTAAATTATTATATGCCTTATAAATTCTAACACAGTCCATGCATATTCCAATGGACCTGGAGTGATACAAAAGATCAATGCATGCTTCATCATGTAGCAATGCTTGATGTTGCTTGGATAATGTTAAATAAGTGAAAATATTGCTTCTAGAACTTTCCTTTACTGGCCAGAATTTAATTGTCTCCAGGAAAATATTGAAGCTATTTGAGTGTATGATTTAATATACCTGTCCTTCAAATATTAATACAAGAGTTCTCAGAACACACACAGCAAAAGTGTAGTGAACACAATCTTCTTCAACTCTCAAAACATGATTATTTTATGTATATATAAAAGAATTTAAGATACATTAACATGTTAACAATGGGTTACTTTCTATTAAGACTCTATATTTTTAATTCCTGAATTGTTTGCAAATAATATGTATCTTTTTTTATTAAAAATTGATAGAAGAAAATTCCAATTTGTAGGATTTAGTCTTTGATGGATCTAAGTAATAATCCAAAGATATTTTGTGCCCTATATATTCAAGACACAGTCCTTTCTCAAATGAATACTCAGCATGTACCATAAAATCCATTACATATTGACAATGATGTAGTGATGCAGCCTCAGTGCAAGTCTTCCATTCATTCTCATGGAAAGACCCCACAAAGCAAAAACACATGGTTAGAAATCATCAGAAATTTCAGGTCTCTGTGCAGCAGTCATGTAAGTACTTAATTGTTGGAGCTCGGGTTTGCTTTGCTCAGCAGGGTCCTACTGGCTTAGGGGCAGAGATTCTTGATCGGCAACAGACATTACATATTGACAATGATGTAGTGATGCAGCCTCAGTGCAAGTCTTCCATTTATTCTCATGGATAGACCCCACAAAGCAAAAACACATGGTTAGAAATCATCAGAAGTTTCAGGTCTCTGTGCAGCAGTCATGTAAGTACTTAATTGTTGGAGCTCAGGTTTGCTTTGCTCAGCAGGGTCCTACTGGCTTAGGGGAAGAGATTCTTGATCGGCAACAGAGCCTTGGACCCTGGGACTTGTGTCTTTTCAACAAGC